GGCCTCCAACCTAAGAGCGATGGCCTCCAACCTAAGAGCGATGGCCTTCAACCTAGAAGCGATGGCCTCCAACCTAAGAGCGATGGCCTCCAACCTAAGAGCGATGGCCTTCAACCTAAGAGCGATGGCCTCCAACCTAGAAGCGATGGCCTTCAACCTAAGAGCGATGGCCTTCAACCTAAGAGCGATGGCCTCCAACCTAGAAGCAATGGCCTCCAACCTATTGGCATCATTTGGCCATTTGGCATTTCGCACAAATTCAGTAGTGTCGCCCATGTTTCCCAATGCCCTGTTCAGTCACCGGGGTATTGGACACCTTTTTTCATGCTTCTCCTACCTAAGGCTTTAAGAAAGATTCGTCACTTCTCTTCCAGGCTGCCAGCCGGCTGCATGGCGCTGGCATCAGCAGCCTTGCCGAGGAGTTGTGTGGGGCCCGGCGGCCTGGAGTGCTTCCAGGGCGAGGTTGTGGATGCTGCAAGCCTCCAGGCATCCTTGTGGATGAAATTCACACAAGTTGGATATGTCAAATTCTGGTTCAACCTGGTTCTGGAGAAGTCTCAGATGGAATCCCAATGCAGCCATTGAATTGGAGATTTCTAGAAGAGAAGCTGGTTGGCAGATGCCTAACATCATAGTCTTGGGATGTGTTGGTTCAAGATCCACCGATCCACGTCCATGGATTTGCTACAGCCCTCTGGGTAGCAAGAGGGGTCTCGTTCAGAACTGGAGGGATGTAATTAGAATCTGAAAAAAGAAGCACCAGACAGATTCCCTGGTCAAAGGAACATCGATCACCAAACGCTAGCTTTGGTTCCAGTTGACTAGCAGCACCTTCTTTGATCCGAGGACAGCATGGACCGGATGGACTGAATGGACTAAATCCGACCCGCTTGGGCACCACGAGTTGGGATCGGCACGTCTGGGCAAGGATCTACAGGGTCCATGGGGAAGGATGAAAACATGAATCCTCTACAGTAGAGATCTATAGGCCATGCCAAACTATGGTCATTGCCGCAAACAGGTGTCCGAAATCCAATTTTCTCGGCCAAAGAAGGGTTCTCAGTAACACAACAAAAAGAAAAACTCTTCTTGCATGTGACATATGTGTGTTTATCTGTATGAACCAACAGGTCGGCACGGCGCTCGCCTTGCCAGGTCGCTCGAGAAGTCGCCAGGTCGGCGATGCCCCTCTCCCAGGCGGTCGGTTTCACTGGTCGCGTGATTCCTTCAAAGGCTACCCCATGAAAAGTGGATTAGCTGCCCGACCTTGTTTTTGGGGGAGTGGGTGTGTAAAGATGATCACTATTAGTTTATCATAGTTTATCTATTTTTGCGAAAGACCTGCAACCTAACGATCATCAATGGGGCCCATATCCATCCATATCCAATATATCTCAGTGTGTGTCTTAGTGTGTATAGACATATGGGTGTGTATTTTTATTTGGAGACCTCCCAGTTCGGAGCCCCTGGAAGAAGAGAAATAGACCCAAATCCATTGGTTGGGTGTCTCCCTATTGACTATACACCACCCATATAGTCTATACACCACCAACCAGGACGGTTCTCGCGTTTGACTGCACGGACCGCCGGACCGCGTCGCTTCGCCGGGCTCTGGAATGGACCCGTCGTTGCTAATGAAGCAGCAGGTCCATCGCCGTTGGGCGGGTGGGCAGGCCCCGAAGATGTTTGCACCTCAGCCACTTGATGTGGCTGTCGTCCGGGAGGTCTAGCATGTCAGCCACAGACTTTCTTGGCTTCGCAGCTTCGCCTTTGGGCGTCCCATGGAGCTACCTCCACTTCCTCCAGCTGCCGAGAGCTCCGGCAAATCACCCGATGCTCCGGCAGCGCCGGTGTCCCCGAGCGCGGCCCATGCATTGAAGCTCTGCATTTCTGGATTAGATGCTTGGTGGAACCCGAGTTCAGCTCGCCTGAAGACAAACATATGTTCTTTGATGTTCTTTGACCGTATGTTTCCAAGGTTGAAAGTCCGGAGAATTGCAGTTGATGTCAATGACTCAATGACAATATATGATCAGGCATGATGCGTTTGATGTGGTCCTGAGCCGCCTTCACCTTTCTTGGTGCGTGGGCATGGGGTTGTTTTCATCAGGATGGATATGAGCTGAAGATCTCTGTGGATGATGCCCTCCTCGGCAGTACCTGGCATTGGAAGGGCCCGGCAGGTCTTTGTTGGCGAAGCACCCCTTTGTCCCCTGCGAAGGAGCAATTTCAGATGCCAATCATCCACCCGTTGGTAGTTGAAACCTCCCCAGCCCTGCCCAAGAAGCGACTCTCTTCCGCTGAACATGTCCAAGCTGAGGCGAATTGTTGGACCTTGTGAAGATGCAGCTTCCATCAAAGCCAGGAGCCATGCTTTCCTTGTTGCCTGGCCTCCGTTGACCTTCGAACGCGGGTAATCCGCATCTTCGTCGAATGATGTCTTTTTTCGGGAGTCACCGAGCGGTGGCAGCTGGACGCTTGACATCGGCTTGGATCGACTTGGAGGTCGGACACCCTGGAGGTCTGTGAGAATGTCCTGGGTCAGCAGGGTACCTCTTAGCAACGAAAGTCATAGTTTGATGACGAAATCAAGATTTGAAGTACGACAATGAGTCTTGTAATTGCGAAATGACATGCTAGTTGTAAAGGACATGTCCTGCTTTGCACGAAGAGCCTGCATTGCACCAGGATAGGTCATCTAATCATTGCAATCATTGCGAAGCCGCCAGCTTTTTCACCTTTTCACCTCTGGTCTTGACGTGGCTGCAGGAACCGCGTGAACTGAGGTTGGTATCGTGTATGTAGCTGCGAATGGAGTTTCTGGCTTTAGTTGTTTTCCAAGTGCACCAAAATGGATCCAGGGCCGTCTTCCGGGCCGTCCAGGGAATGGAGGGCATCGCGTTACGGCCGTCTGGCATGAAGAGGAGAACAAATGTTCTATCTTATATAACGTGATCCAAAGGACCGATCTTGATGCAAAGCAGGAGATGGTCTATGATTCCCCAAACAGTGTGGACACACTAGGGGTTCTTACGGTAAGTGTGAAGCACTGTTTGGGGTCTCTTGCCAGGATAATGTCTTTTCAGGGTGTCTTTGATGTTTAAAAGGGCACAAGGAACAATCACGGCCATCCAGGAACACCCGTTTCGCAACCGAACGAGTTTCCCACTTAAAGAACCCTCCTGGGGGTTTGCTACTGGGGTTTGCCTTTTATTGCTATCAAAGGGCGCCCTCCTGGGTCAGCAATCAAGAATCCAAAAGCCTGAAGCATCACTTGGAGATGAGTCTGAGGGAAATAGAGCCAGTTGAACACCCCCCCAAATCGCAATTTGTCCACCCATTGCATTCCCAACCTTCCCCTCCTCATTGCCCACCTCACAGGACGAGCTTCACAGATCCTAATGCGTTCCGTTAGTTGATATAGTTGCATGTTGCTTGATTTGGTTGTGCCTCAGACCCATAGCCACTTAGTTTGCAATTGAACATGTTGCAAGTGATTTCACAATGACCTGTGTGCTCTTTCTGGACCCCGAAGACACCCCCAGCTTGGGGATACAAGTGTCTTTGATTCGTTTACTTAGGTGTAGACTTGGGACAAGAAACCTTGAGACTGATGTGGACACTTAAGAGTACAGTATATGAACATGTTTGGGCCGCGGGCCCCCGACATGGGGACTCTCCTCTTCAGGCTTGTGAACAACTCCATGCTCTCCTTGAATGAGACGCTGAAGGAGCAAGGCTTTCAGAAGGACCAATCCCTTCACTATTGCTACACCACCGCGAATGCGTCCTACACTTAGTGGACCGGCTGACCCCGTGACGTCGCGTGGAACTCCGAAGACGGGGATGGGCGACATCCGGGGATGGGCTTGCAATCGTTGAAAAGGAAACATGGATGCCCTGAAAAAGGAATCATTCATTCATTCATATTCATTCAATCCTTGAAAAAAACACATAGAGTCGAGCCCCTGCTTCTCAGAGAGCAGAACCTGAGTCGTTTGTCCAGCAAAGTCCAGAGGTCGAACCTTCGTAGCCAGACCGCCCGACCGCCCGACCGGCCACACCCAGACACACCGACACACCCGGACAACCACCGCACCGGCCGAAAAAACGACGGTGGCGGTACGACATGTGACGAGCAAATGTGTCTGCCATGTGTTCTTTTTTTCTGAGGGGCGAGGCTTGGAAAGCCCTGATGGGTTTCAAAGTGGAGAAGGCCAATGAAGTCTTGGAGGGAGTCCTGAAGCTGCAGACTGAGACACAGGTGTGGGGCTGTGGTGCATGTGCGGCATGTGGCCGTGCCAGCGACGTTCCAAAAGCATTTACCCTGGGGTCTTGAAGGATCTTCAAGGCGTATCATTGAGGTGCTGGACATGTACGAAGGGCTGTCCAGGTGCCCAGTTCTTAGAAGTGTTCTTAGAATATATATATATATATAGTAATACAAAGTATATATACACACACTATATATATATACCTATATAATATGCGTGTTTATTTTGAGCGGGGCTGCTGTACTCAATTTCCGTCAGCAAACACATTTGCCTGGTTTCCTTCAAAGGCAGGGGCAGTCAGCTGAGCTTTCTCCAATAACAATTGGTAAATTGGCGGTCTTTGGGCCTAATCAACACCTCGGTTTCCTGTCTCAAAGTCGTTGCCATCTAATGTTGGATCCGAATCAGTCAAGTGTGTTCGCCAACATATGCCAACACCCTAAATAGTTTAGTGGGAGGGAATTTAAAAAAAATCACCCAGTCTTTTTTACTTTACTGGTCTATTGTTCTGCTACTGCTATTGTTCCCCCTTTAAAATCCTTACTTAACTCTCCTGATGTTTGCTTGATTCACGGAATTCTGACCTGGAAATCGTTTTCAAAAAAAGATTAGAACTTAAACACCACCACCACCACCACCACCACCACCACCACCACCACCACCACCAC